TATATATTAACTCATTGTGAATTCTCAACTACTTGACAATGCAATAACACAAAGTTAAACTTATGGCTAAAAGAGTATGCCACAGACTTTTCTATCCACATTCTGGAATCAATGGCAAACTTCCTATCATAATAGCAGTGTTCTAATGTTTGGAAAATACTACAACTGTAAATAGTTTCTTCTTTATTGTATATCATCAGCATTCAGAAGCTGTTAGCATATGGTTAAGTGTATACAACTACATGATCCAAGCCATACTATATCTGTAACAAAACTGCTCAAATTCTACTATCAGTGAAATCAGTATCCAGGATAAATTGATAACCTGTATTAACCCTTTCCCTAACAGGCACCCCTTTCTACGCAAGTCACTGAGTTGCATTCAAAATTTAATTAAACAACTTAACAATCAATGTTTGTCAATGAAATTAATATTATAATGTATGTTATAATTTGGAAGTTTTATATAATATAATTATTAATTCCTTTGTTTCAAAAGAAACCTTTAAAAAAAATACAAACATTGGTTTTGGTGTCACTGACCCATGAACTATGAAAAATCTCACCTTTCACACACACTATCTTGCATCAGATAACCCTAGTCCTGTAGATATACGTCAAGGCAATAAGTACATTTACTTGCCCTATGGACACATACGTTTCAAAGTTCTTTGGCTGAATTCAGTAAAAACAAGTAATAAATTTTGCCAACCCTTGACGGATGCCATGGCCACCCTCTATACTTAGTCTTGAAATTTAACAGTCACATGTACTTACTTGACAATACATGTTTATAATCATTAGAAACAGCTCATTTTACACTACAATACAACAGTAGTTATTTTTAAATTGGTGCATAGTTGTCGTTATCGGGTAGATGTAATTGACAGTAGTATTGTTGGCTGCTTTATCAACAATAGCACTTACAGTTGTTTCTTACCTAAATATGTTATAGTTAGAGAGACAGTTAAATTTTACTTGGGTTTTACTTTTATATTTTAGTTAATTATGTATGATTTATGTTTTAAAATTCATATTTGAATGGTTTAATGATTTTTAAAAATATTTTCTAACTTTTGTCATGCTCCACAAAACGTAAATTTCTAAGTAAGTGCAAAAAATTTTACCAGAGGCTAAACTATCTCTGCTGATGATAACGTTATATTACCCACAAACACCTGTTGATGTGTGTTGACATATATAATGACAGATAAAGAACAGGAAAGGGAAATAAAAGATTAAAAATAAACTATATGTGAAAAGGTAAAAATGGGAAATTATGCAAATGACCCAAAGAAGGTATTTTAAGATTATTCAATGAAGACATAAAAGGTATGTATATATTTGCATTTCTTCATTTTAAACATTTCATTGCACAGTACACTGACAATAATAATTAGTAATATGGTAGAGAAAATGGAAAACAAGCTAAAAAAATTTAACTTATAAACTTTTGATATTCATTTAATTCTTTCAACACAGGCTCAGTCTCTGGGACCATTTCGTGCTTCTTAGTTTCATGCTATAACTTTTAAATCAGTAAGCGTATGTTAATGAAATTTAGCAGATTATCAGTAAACATTACAAGGCTTTCATACACAGAATATCTAATTTTTTTAAATTAATTCTTAAGGTTTGTTAAGCAATGTTTTTCTTGTGCCTTTTTTCTTTTCGCATGTTCCCTATCTGACATGCAGAGTAATTTTCATTTTAAGATTAAAAACACTTTTATGCATAAGAAAAATTTCAAATTTCACATGTGAAATCTTTATGACATCCAGATAGTTATCAAATATTTCTTAAGGAAAAACTATATTTTATCTGTTATTTTCACTAACAAATTTCTGTATGGGTTTGGGCGATTTGACTAATCTCGTAACCACTATAAAAAATTAGGAAATAAATATAAATTATGCCCATTTCCTTCTAGAATGACTACAAATTATAACATGAAAAACAAATGTTGACTAAATAATTTAAATTTCATAACATTATACATTTATTTTTATTTATTATTTTTATTATATTGACCTTTCAGCCGTGCCTGGCTAAAAATACAAAAGTTACAATGACGTGGCGCATGTGCACTCATGTTACTGTATCCAATAATATAAAACTAACCTTTGGTCTTTACAAAGTGACCTGTCTTGGCTGTGCTTTAGTGGACTGGTATTTTGTAAAATACAGTCACATTTCAATTATTATATTAGAAAATATGTATATACATTATTATTATTCAGAAATAAGTTCTTAAACTTATTTTTCTTAAAACACAGAACAGTAAATAAAGAAGTAAAGCAAAGGATTATCTCTTCCAGTTACGACCTTTGTACTCGTTTGCTGCTTGTCTTAGGTTGCTAAGCCTTATAAAAATTTTGCACATGGAGAATGTGAAATGGAATAATTTTTATTAGGTTTTATATATACATTTGAAATAACCAAAAAATCAAAAATTACTATATCGATACCATATAATTCCACTATAATTTATCAAACTTAGTAACTAAGATGTATTTGGGTC